ATTGACTACCCACCCAAGCCAAAGTTTTATTGGATCTTTCCTTTGTGGTTTTTACTGGGTTGTGTTTCTACCTGTGGGAGGTGAGAGCAGGTGAAGCAGGAGACTTGCAGGGCAATTTATCATTCCAAGTGCTCAGTGCACAAAGACAGTTTGAGGTCCTCTGTTCCCAACGTGTACAGGAATAGCAACCACATACCTGCTTGCTATATAAAGCACAGGAACAAGTAATACCTGAGCCTGACTGACTGAAAATACACCATGTTTCTACAGGTGAATGTCAGGTTCACAAAACCATAAAACAAGATAATACCTCCTGATTGAAATCAGAATGCATTGCCCAGTATGATAGCCACTAGCCACGTGTGGCTATTAAGCTCTTGAAATGGGGCTACTTTATTCTATAGGTGTGAAATACAAAGGATTAGTTAAAAACACTACAATGTATCAATATTTTTATATTGATTACATGTTAAAAGGATAAAACTTTGGCTACATTGGGTTAAGTCATATAATTACAATCAATTTCATTTCCTTCTTTTTATTTTTTAAAATGTGGATACTAGAAAAATTAAAATTACCCATGTGGCTTGCATTATATTTCCACTTGGTAGCACTGCTCTAAAGTCTTAACTCTACCTTGATCTGTTCCAGTACCTTAGAAACAATAATATATAAAGTGATTAAATTCAAATCTAGAACTAAGTACATTTATTATGTACCCACTAAGAGTCTTGTCCTTAAGAAAAAGAAAGGGAACTAAAATTTTTTGAGTTCTATGTTGTGCCAGGCCCTGGGCATCCTTACCAGCTAGATATTATAATTTCTACTACACAACTAGGCTCCAGCTTCAAGCCTTCCATATAGTGGGGAAGAAGGGGGGAATTTCTTGAAACTGATATAAGCATAGGCATCTCTCCTCCATGGTCTTCTCTACACCCTTATTCATAAACTAGAGGCCAAGTGCACCAATTCGCGCACGGTTAGGGTCCCTCGGCCTGGCCTGCGATGAGGGCCATCTTGCCCAGTCCTGATTGGTGCCGGCTGGATGGGGGGGTAGAGGGGGGAATAGGATGGGAGGGAGGGACCGCAGGAAGTTGGCTGTTGGGAGCGCACTGACCACCAGGGGCAGCTCCTGCATCTGCCCCCTGGTGGTCAGTGTGTGTCATATCCCTCTTTCCAACTCTAATCTGTGTGTTTTAGTTCCTTCTAGCTGCTATAACAAAATACCATGGACTGGGTGGCTTATAAACAAATACTTATTTCTCACAGTCTGAAAGCTGGGAAATTCAAGATCATGGTGCCAGCATGGGAGGGTTCTGGTGAAGGGCTTCTCCTGGGCTGCAGACTGCTGACTTCTCACTGGGTCCTCTCGTAGTGGTGGAGTAGCAGGGAGCTCTCTGGAGTCTCTTTTGTAAGAACACTAATCACATTCATGAAGGCTCCACCCTCATAACCTAACCACTTCCCAAAGGTCCACCTCCTAATACCATCACCTTGGGCATTAGGATTTCAACATATAATTTCGGGGGAACACAAACATTCAGACGAAAGCACTGAATGTAAATGGGCAGGGGGATGTGTGTTTCTTTATTGTATGTTCCAGTGACAAGACCTTTCTTCACCTTTAAATTTGTGAACTTTGAAATCCTAGGAGGTAATTAACTACAAGGAGATGATAATAATAATAATAATAATAATAATAATGCTAGAAAAGCATAGAAACCAAGTTACTTACTTCTCAGTCATCTCAGCTTCTCATCACATAGCATCAGCAGTGATTACTCTTATTTTTCTTGAAGAAAAAAAGCAATTGTTCTTTTAGATTCATTTCATTTGGTGAGTACTGTTTGATAAGTAGTATGTTTTCATCTTACCTATTTGCATTGTAAATGGCATCTCAAAGTTAGCATGTTGAAAACTGATTTCCAGATTTGCCATTCTTCCCCCCCGCCCCGTTCCCCTTCTACTATTCCCCATCTCAGAGAATGGGCACTCCATTCTTCCTGGTAATCAGACCAAAAGCCTTGGAGTAATCTTTCACTCCACTTATCCTTCATCCAACCTGGCAGCCTGGCAGCTCTACCTTCAAAATAGTGTTATTAGCTAGCATTTAACCACTTCTCACCATCAAATGCCAATTCCCCTAGTCCAAACCATCATAAGGCCTCCCTTCAATGACCACAGAGATCTGTGTCCCACCCCGCCCCTTCAGTCTACTCTCAGCACAGCAGCCAGAGTAACCCTAACACAACTTTAATCATGTCTCCTCTGCTCAAAACCCTCCAATAAGAGGATGACCACAATCAAATTCTCTCTGGTGGCTCCCAAAGCCCCATAGTCATGGACTTCAGTCATGTTGGACTTCTTGCTATTCCTCAAAACAGCAAGTCCTCTCCAACTTCAGGGCCTCCGTCCAAAATGCTCTTCTTCCACCATCTGCTCGGTTCAGCTCTCTTACCCCTTTCAGGCCTTGTCTCACCTGCCTCCTCTTCAGCAAGAATTCCTTGGCCAGTGTACTTTATTTTATTTTTAAAAAATATTTTTATTGATTTCAGAGAGGAAGGGAGAGAGAGAGAGAGAAACATCAATGATGAGAGAGAGAATCATTGATCAGCTGCCTCTTGCACACCCCCTACTGGGGATCAACCTGGGCATGTGCCCTGACCAGGAATCTGTGACCTTCTGGTTCATAGGTTGATGCTCAACCACTGAGCCATGCCAGCTGGGTGGCCAGTGTATTTCAAATTTGTCATTGCCCTGCCCAAATACTCCCTTCCCCTGCTTTATTCTTCTCCATAATCTTGATCGCCACTGAACATATTATGCCTCCTACTCATCTGTTTTATTTATTTCCCTAAAATAGGATCTAAACTCCACAAAGGTGAAGATCCTATTTTATTCACTGCTATCATCTCAGTTTTTAGAATGGGGCCTGCCACAAAATAGATGTCCAACGAATGGTGTTAAAGATTCAATAAAGTTTTCAGATGAGGATAATGAGGCACAGAGAAGCTCAGCTTTAGGCCAAGGTCACCGGACTAGGAAATACAAGGGTTAGAACCCAGCCTGTGTTCATTTCCCTCCCTCCGTTGCTTCAGGAGGTAAGAGGGGCTCCGTATCCAACCACGGGAGCTGGCCGGCTGGGCTGTGCTGTGGGGGAAGCACACCCAGGTTCAGGTGTAAGTCCTGCTAGAAGTCCTGAGCTGACACAGAAACCGCTCTTTTGGCGGCATCGAGGACAGTCTCCGAGATTACAGAAAGTAATTTGAAGGCATATGATGATGCTTGCCAGTTTTAAGACTGGCTTTAACTATTTTTCTTGCAGCTGTAGCTTTCTGGGATAATGAATGTACCACATGTTTGTATCTCCAGGTTCCCATACAAATTAGGAAACTAAAACTGCCGGATGATGAAAACAGATTTCTGCTTGTTTCCATGGGAAGTCAACTGCCATGAAACCTCAGGCGATGGCAGGGGGAGAGCGTTCAGCTCGAGGTGTCCTCTGGCGAGTGGAGGCACTCTGCTGCCCAGACTCTTACCCAGAGCTGTTCAAAATGCCAGGGTGCCCACCCTGCTGGTGGCCAAGAAACACTGCAAAGGTCATCATGTCTTATCCAGCTCTTTTCAGTGTCCACCCCCAGGGGTCCGGGCCCTGGGAGGTTAGGTGTGAGGAAAAGCCCTTTACTAATGACAAATAGACACTTAGTAATGTAATGTGGGGCTCAGCCTCACCCAGCGTGCTTTCAGCACATTGTGAAACTTCTAGGCGATCTCCTGGTGGACAGAGAGATGCACAATAAAGGACTCCTGCTGGAAGAGTCTCTGCGGGCTACTAAAAACTAGACAGAGTTCATTCAGGGGAGTGAGGGATGTTCTGTAAACACAGCCAAATGTGCCTGGGCAGCTGCCCTGAGGATGTCTCCAGGAGGCTGTGATGATTACTTATTCCCACTTGCCCCATAATTAGCACCAATTTGCCTAACAGAGGGAATGCCAAGGGAAAAGGCTACAAAAAGATGTCAGGGTTGCCTTGCCAGTGGCAATCTCTGACTTGTCTTGGGAAATGGGTTCAGTAGCTTACTCTACCCTAAATTGAGAGTTGATTAACACAGGCCACCCAAAAAAATTAAGGG